CGGAGAAAAGCACACCACATACCGTCTTCTGGGACAGAGCATATACGGTGAACCAAATGTTTCATATGCATTGTGTATTTATATCCCAGTGTCATATTTATTGTCTAAATACGTTTTGTCTTTCCATCTTCCAAGGACGCTGGGGTTATTGGTCTATAACACTATTCCAGCAAATTGCTTCTCTGGGCAATAACATCGCCATCCATATCGCCGCTGGAAGCAGTCTCAAGGCAAGACTCCAAAGCAGGAGCTTTACATGCAGTGATCAGCAGTTATACTGATCATAATTACCGTCTCTCTCACCAGGCGGTGTACAAGTACAATTGGGACGGCGGCTTAACATTGCAGGATTTCATCATGTTCTTTGGGGCATTTGAGCTGCTGCTGTCGCAACTCCCTGACATCCACTCGTTACGGTGGGTGAATGCGCTGTGCACCTTCAGCACCATAGGTTTCGCTGGAACGGCGATTGGCGTGACTATTTACAATGGTAAACTTCTGATGTCGTGTTCTTCTTTCCTACTTTGTGTGTGTTCACTTAGCACACACTTGTAAACGCTTAAACTTGCTCTGCTTTCCCCCTTGTATCAAAAGGTATCCTTCAAGGAAGGCCTCACCTTGTGCTGCTGGTAACTCTTTATTTCTTTTAAGCCCACCAAGGACAACGTGCCATTCTTTCTTTGGCAATGCAGGGAAAAATATGGATCGGAAGTCAATCAGCTATGGGTTTCAAGGAAACTCCTCCTCTAGGGTTTTCAAAGCTTTTAATGCTTTAGGAGTAATTGCTTTCTCATTCGGGGATGCGATGCTGCCCGAGATACAGGTACAATATATCACTCTTACTATCCTGGTTTGGCTTGATTTGATGCTACTAAGTATGAGATGATATATGATCTATGCCGAAATTAAGCTTAAACAAGGATATCTTACTTAACTATCTTGGATAAATAAAGATTTTGATATATTGAAAAGGGAATGGATCTTTTGAAAAGATAAAAACTAAGAGGAGAGGGTGAATTAGTGCTTTTGAAGAATTTCGATAATTTCAAAAATTTCGTTCGATGAAAATCGATATCGAAAGTGTGCTTGACTTAAAGCAAGTGTAATAAGCAAATAAATCAGTAAGTAATGAGAGTGAAAGACACCAAGAAAATGCACATCGCATTCATAATGGTTCAGTCATGATCTATGTCAACTTTCGATTCCTCCTCCATCGAGGCCATCGGCTTCCATTAACGATCTTCTTTCAATAGAGACAGACTAATTACCTTTGTTATAACTATTTCTCCTTTTTAAAGGTTTAGAAGAAAACATTTATAAGTCTTACACTTTCCTTAGATAGAATTCTAAACTTTGAAGAAGAGAAGGGGAACTCACAACACTTTTCAGGATAACAACTTTGATTTATCATCATTTTAGTTCACTCTTTCTTATCTCTTCCCAACAGGGATGAGTGAGATATTTATAAGGCCCAAATAACTTCAAAAATGAAGTCAAAAAATTTAAATATCCGGATCTTCTAAGTATGAGTAGTACCATGGGATATTTATAAGGCCTATGTTTCTTCTTGTCATTTACTAAATAGGAGAATTTTGTAAATGAATCATGAATTTTTTGAAATTATAACTATTTTTTTAATTGAGACATTATGCATGAATCAAGTTTTCATATAAATCTATCTATGTTGCCTTCATTGAATTTTCCAAAAAGTTATTTTGATGATGATTTTGGATCTATTTTCATATGAGTAATAAGATGATATATCCAACTAAATCATTTATCGTATTTACGACTTGTGATATATTCAATATGAAACATCTTTCTTGATGCACATATGATTCATACTTTTAAGAGAATATTTATCAAATCATGATAAGATAAGATTCTCTTTGTATGAATCAAGATTTTTCATGATCTCCTAAGAATTTTTTTCGTTATTTATTTAAGAGGAGATTTGTTAAAATGAATCATGGTTTCTCTTGATTTCTCAGAATTATAACTTGAGAATTTTTTTTATAAATCAAGATTGTTTATTATGATTCTTTCTTTTCGCTATTTGAGTTATCCAAAAAGAATCATAATATGTCTCTTGATATTCACAATTTGTCTTCATGATTTGTATATCTTATCACCAAATTTTTCTTATTATCCTTCATGTGATGATATGAAATCATGCAATACTCATGATATTATGTTGATGCATACAAATGAGAAGTTATGATCATGCATGGTTGGATGTAATGTAATTTGATATTTTGATACTATCATGATTTGAATTATTTATGATTTGGAATGATGCATGCAATACTTATGATTTTATTATGATGTATTGCATATGATGTGAATCATGATTAAAATTGCTTTGACTTGAATTCAATTTGAATTCAAGATTTACCTTAATTATGGCATATTAAAATAAAAATAATACTTTAACTTTATTATGATTTAAAAATTGATGTAAAGGGAAATGAATTACAACATTGAATTCTTCCCTTCTTTTTGATAATGACAAAGGGGGAGAAAAATTGCTAGCTCAAGATACAAAATTTGGAAACTTGCACATTGTAAAAGAAGTAAAAATTTACGAGCTTGCTTGTTCTAATAGATGTAAAATTTTGCTAGCTTGCGCTTTGCTAAGGAAGTAAAAAATTGCACTTCTCAAAAGAGAAAAAGAACTTGCTATCTTGAACATCACTAAATTTGCTAGCTTACATATTTCAAGAAGATACAAAAATATGCTATCTTGCACATCCCAAAGAAAAGCAAACTTATTAACTAACATCACAAAAAATTGCTAGCTTGCCTATCTTAAGAAGCAAAAATGCAAACTTGCAAAATTTGTAATCTTGGACATCTTTTATGATGATTTGGTGATTATGCATGTTCTAAAGTGATGGGAAAGTTGCTAAATTGCTAAGCTTATATCTGTAGAACATTGATAAATGCACTTCTCCATTTTTGTTGATGACAAAGGGAGAGAAGTATAATGATGTTATGCATGATTTTATGATGATATATAGCTTGGATTTTTGAATTTAAGAGTTCTAGCATATTGATACGGGGAGTTAAGGTTAACTCCGTCATCAATTGGTTATCATCATTAAAAAAGGGGAGATTGTTGAACCTCGGATTTTGATGATGAAACCAATTGATGTGTTTATGATTTGATCTACGTTTTAAGTGACGCACGAAGCTTCGATAAGTGAGAGACAATTAAAGCATGAAGAATTGTGTTGGGCCGGAGTGGAACATGTAAGAAGATTGGACGTCGCACCGAAAGATCGGTCGATGTATTAACAGAAGGCTTCGAGCCATGGGTTCGGGTATGGGGCCAAGAAAAGCGAAAATTACACAAAGAAAATCAGAGTTGCGAAGGTCAAATGATCGATTGGGCAATAAGCCGCAAGAGAGGATGATGCACCGAATAATCGGACGAAGCGTCGATAAAACAATGACATGTCGGACAACACTTGATTCAAACTTTGTAATAATTGTCTAGATCAAAGTAGATTTGAAGTATGTAGGATTAACTATAATAGCAAGGCATAAAGCAAAATGAAGTCCCAAAGTCAAGAACAAGATTTCGTTGGGAGTTCAAGAGTTCGTCGGAAGTCTGAACATTCGTCGAAAGTTATGCCGAAATTGACCGAGAAGTCTAGGAGCTTGCCAAGGAAGCTCGTGAAACTCATCAAGAAGATCGTTGTGAAGTCTAGGAGCTTACCGGGAGTCTACTAGAACATTACCGAGAGATCGTCGAAAGTTCGTTGGAAGATCGTCAAAAGCTCGCCAGAAGAAACCTAGACTTACAAACTTGTTTAGCTTAGTAAATATCTTAAAATTCGTAGTTAGCATATAATTAGGTTAAAATTGGGCCAACTCAATTAGGGATTAATTGGGCCTAAATTGGGAGTGATTTGGGCTCACTGGGAGGCCCGTTCAATGACCCAAATGTTGGGCCAAGCGGTGGCACTACTAGAACAGGCGGTAGAACCACCTGTGAGTTAGAAAACTCAAAAATCTCAATCTCCGAGGCTGTCAGGCGGTGGTACCACCCAGTGATAGTGTGTCAGGTAGTGGTACCGTCAGATTGGGTGGTGGTTGTTGAATCTCGTATTTTGATGATGAAACAACTTGATATATGTTTATGATTTAATCTGCGTTTTGAGTGACGCAGGATGCTTCGATTAGGATGAGACAATTAAAGCAGGAAAATCATGTTGTGCCGGAGGAACATGTCAGAAGATTGGACGTCGGGCCGGAGGATCGGTCGACGTATCGATAGAAGGCTTCGGGCCGTGGACTCGGGCATCGGGCCAAGAAGAGCGAGTATTGTGCCAAGGATATCGGAGTTGCGAAGTCAACTGGCCGATTGGGCAATAGGCTGCAGGAGAGGACGATGCGCCGAAGAATCAGACGAAGCGTCGAGGGACCAATGACATGCCGGACAACTTGGTTAATTGCTTAGGATTAATTGTCTCGATCGAAGTTGTGTTTTAAGTGTGCAGGATTAACTACGATGGAAGAAAGACATGCAGTAGGAGTTGCGCCGGAGTCAAGACAATGATCACGTTGGGAGTTCGAGAGTTCGACGGAAGCTCGGACAATCGTCGGAGGTTCTGCGGGAACAAATCTGAGAAGTCCATAAGCTTGCCAAAGAAGCTCGTCGGAACTCGCCAAGTGAATCGTCGTAAGTCCAGGAGTTTGCCGGAAGTCCGTAGGAGCATCACCGAGGGTTCATCGGATGATCGACGGAAGTTCGCCGGAAGCTCGCCGGAAGAAGCGATTGACGCACCGGAGCAAGTTGCAGTAAATGTCTTAGGGAATATCGTAGTTAGCACAATGATTAAGTTGGAAATGGGAGGTGATCCCATTAACTTAATCTTGGGGCAATTGGGCCCTTGAAAAACCCAAATAGGACCGAATGGATCAACCCATTCGGACCCTGATTTCTGCCAGGCGGTTGAACCGCCCAAGGCAGGAGATTGCACCGCCTGGGCTCAGTCTCCGAGCGAGACTAGGAGGTGCAACCGCTCCAGCCAGGCGGTGGCACCGCTTGGGCTCAGTCTCCGAGCGAGACTGGGTGGTGCAACCTCCCCTGACAGGAGGTGGCACCACCTGGGCTCGGTCTCCGAGCACTAGCTGAGCGGTGCAACTGCCTCAGTTAGGAGGTTGCACCGCCTGAGCTTGGTCTTCGAGCTCTGGCAGGAGGTACAACCGCCCCTGACAAGAGGTGGCACCGCCCAGAGGCTCAGTCTTCGAGCTCTGCTAGGCGGTGCAACCGCTCCAGTCAGGAGGTGCAACCACCTGATCCCGAAATTTCAGGAATTGACAGTTTTGAGCTCCAAATTTGAACTGGGTTGGGGCCTATAAATACCCCACCCATTCAGCACTGAAAGAGCATGAACTTACACCAAAATCTTGATCTTTTTCTGTGATTCTTAGAGCTCAAAATTGTTGTAAAGGCCAAAAGTTCTTCTCCCTCTGTTCTTCCAAGTTCTGAGTTGTAAAGAGAGGAGAAAAGATTCTGTAAGGGTTGTCTCCTAAGCCCATCAAAAGGAGTGAAACTGTAAAAGGGTGGTTGGCCTTCGCCTATTGAAGGAAGGCCTCTAGTTGACGTCGGTGACCTCGTCGGTGGAGGAAGCCAAAAGTGGAGTAGGTCAAGATTGACCGAACCACTCTAAATCTCGGTTTGCATTTACTTTGAGCATATTATCTTTACTGCAAACCTCCTCTAAAGCTTACTGCTTTCTGCGCATATACGATCGGGTTTCAAGCTTTGCACTTTCCGAATCAGCGTTTAGACGTAAATCTGTTTTCTTGTAC